AGAAAGATTATATATTTTGTATCCTCATCTCAATGAAAGAGAAAGGAGATGGGATTACCTGAGCAGAGAAAAGTATTATGGTGTTGTATAAAGACTTGAGGGTAATGAGCCGCCACTAAATCCAGCTCCACTGTCCCCGAATCCACTGCTTTCAATACCACCACTGCCCCCGAAGTTACCTCCAGCGCCGCCTCCAAAGTCTCCAACGCCGCCTCCGAAACCTCCCGCGCCGCCTCCGAAACTTCCCGCGCCGCCTCCGAAACCTCCAGCACCGCCTCCAAAGTCTCCAACGCCGCTTCCGAAACCTCCCGCGCCGCCTCCGAAACCTCCAGCACCGCCTCCGAAACCTCCAGCACCGCCCCCGAAACCTCCAGCGCCGCCTCCGGCACCTCCTCCAATGACTTGACCGCCACCCTGGGAGGCCGTATTCAAGGCAGTCTGAAGGTCAACACCGCTGGGAAGAACTGGGTTTTCGCCGTCAGCATAGTTCACGAAGAAAACTTCAGGACTGGTTGCTGGTGGCGCTGGGACTTGGATCACTTCCGCTTGCTCTGGAGTCTGTCTGTTGAGGACATAGACGACGCTTCGCGTCTGTGGTGGAGGTATGACGATAGGCTCTGGTCCTGGACCTTCTTCGGGTGTTTGGATGAATACGATATTCGTGTCAATGGTTGGCTCAGGGATATACGGTGGTGGACCGTAAGGAACTGGAGGTGCGGGTGGTGCGTTGTACAGATAGACTTTGCGGTTCTCGCGTGGAGTGACACATCTACCAGCATGGAACACCTGTCCATGACCACAACCTACCGAGTTATACCTATAGCCTTGAGGAGCGGCCAATGACGTGGCCACAACAGTTGCGATTATAACCTGTAACATTGAGATATTAAATTTTATTGTATGCGACGAAATACAGATTCGAGGAAAAATGCATAGTATTTTGATGAACTTTTGTCACTTTTTCAGTTTGATTTTGTTTTACATACTCCAGGAGCCTTAATTTACTACGCAAGACGATTAGGTCTTTCTTACCAAGTGCTTCATGGTGAAGTAATGCTTTCTTCTTCCCAAGTGACGGCTTTTATATACTCGACTTCTTACCCCAACATTCTCTTCTCAACACCGTCAAATGAGCTGCCTGGCCACTACTTCCCTGCCCCGCCCGCTCCCCTCATTTACCTGCCCCACACTGAATTTATCTTATCGCGTTTTTTTTTTTTTTTTTTTTTTTTTTTTTTTTCTTAACGCTCCCGGTTAGTCGCTTGACAAACCTCTGTAAGATAGCGGGTGATCTTTGTATATTCGCAACTTTATTTAAGTATGTTTCATACTGGCCGCCGCTAGTAACACGAGATATTTTTCCAGTTACTTTCGGCGTAATAACATGTCTGTGTCTTAGATCATTTCTTGTGATTAGGAGCATTGTAACTACAAGTCTGTGGCCTCTGAAGGCGTGGTTTACATCAAGTTCTTCAAACTTTTTTTCACTATGATTGTATAGATTACCTTCACGACCCAGTATATGCATTCTATCATTCTTTATATATATATATATATATATATATATATATATATATATATATATATATGTATGTATATATATATATGTATATATATACATACGTGTGTGTGTGTGTATATATATATAAACACACATACGTGTGTGTGTGTGTGTGTGTGTGTGTGTTTGTGTATAGATAGATAGATAATATACATTCATATATGTGTATATGTATATGCATATGCATATGCATATATATATATTTTTTTTTTCTTTTTCACACACACACTTAAACATACATATATTTATGTATATATAATAACTTTATCGTTATTATTATTATTAATATTATCTCTATTAGCATCATTATTATTATCATTATCATTATCATTTGTGGAAAAGGTATGAAATACATATTTCTGACGAAAATATAATCGAAACCGGTCAAATACATCTCTCGTATTGTGAAGATGTTAATTTTCATTCATACCTTTTCTAAATTCGTCAACATGAATATGGTTCATCATTATCATTATCAGGTGGCCGCCCACTGTACACGACCTTGCGACTCGGTATTGGGTCGCGACCCGTGCTTTGAGTTCAGTGACGCGACCCGTGCTTTGAGTTCAGTGATGTTCAAGAATCTGGTTCGTGATATTTGAAGTCGTTTATATAAAAGTCAACTTTTTCGCCAATGTTCCTTCAGACTTATAGAATTAGTGCTTATTGGTCGGAAACTCATTATTTCTTAATCAAAACTAGGGTATCCTCGCCTCTCTATCTATCTATCTCGGTCTATCTATTTCTCTCATATGCGAGAACGATTTTTATACAGTCTCAAATCGCTTGCAAAAAAGTGTCAATAATCCATTACTTTTATATGACCCGGCCCCGCATATGCGTACGTTTGAATATACATGAGACTCAATGTATAGGTTAATGTCAGTTTTACAACTTCCTTTAAGACTAATATAAAGATTTAATGTTTCACGCAAGACGAATTATTATTGTTGTCATTTACCAAAGTATGTACAGAAATGCTGTAGAACTGTGTACATAAAATATTATGTACAGAAATTTAGAATAATGCATTTGAATTAGTACCTTTCATTTGAAAGAATATGAACGTTTGGATTATTCCGTAATGCAATAAACACACTTGTAATATACGCACACCAGGGTTAAAGAGCAATTAAGATGAATTACATGAAGGGGAAAAATCATTATGGCGTTGTATAAAGACTAGGAGATGACACTGAACAAAAGGCATCGCTGAATCCACCTCCACTGCCTCCGAAATCGTCACTTGAACCTCCAACACTGCCTCCAAAACCTGCGACACCGCCTCCAAAACCTCCCGCGCCACCACCTAACCTTCCAGTGACTCCTCTGAATCCACCACCGACATCTCCAGCACCTTCTCCAATTCTTAGGCAGCCACCTTGAGAAGCTGCACTCAAGGCGCTCTGGAGGTCAAAGCCGCTAGGAGGAATTGTGTTGTTAACAATTCCCAAAGCAAAGATACATTTCTAGAGTTGCTGTTTAGAAGTATAGTTGCCGGAAGTGACGTAGGTCAGTGGTAAATATTTTTCTTACGTGTAATAATTAAAATCTGTAATAACTAAAAACATATAATATGGAATCATTCTTTGCAATCAAGGATACTGCATTTAGAAACTTGTGGTTGATAACCATTGTTTTTTGTACATATAAATTCTTATTTTTTTTCTCTTTTTAATCGTAAGCGAAAATTTATGTTGATATATACAGTTTTATGTATAGTTTATATACTAACCTAATAATAAGAATGTGTGTGTGTGTGGGTAATCTGAACTAATAACAATAAGATAATAACAGTAATAACAATGATAATAACAACAATAATGATGGTGATTAATAATGATAATGATAAAGATAATAATAATAGTAATAATAACAATAATAGTAATAAAAATAATAATAGTATTAATGACGGTATTGATGATAATAATGATTTGATGATGATGATGATGATAATGATAATAATAATAATAATAATCCATTAAGTTTGATATTTATGTTTCACTGAAATGTTTCTCGTATGTTTTGCTGTTCAAAATTATTCATCTGTGCCTATGATAAATTACAAAGGATTCCTTCAACATGTAAATAACGGAATGTAGACAAGGCATATACACACACATCGATATATGTGTGTATGTATGTGCGTGTGCATACGTGTGTGTGTGTATGTGTGTGTGTGTGTGTGTGTGTGTGTGTGTGTGTGTGCGTGCGTGCGTGCGTGCGTGTTACAGTTAGCATTAGGACCAGTTTCAAAGCATTTAATGGCTCGCACACAAGACGGATGAAACATTATAATTTATAGAAGTATACATAGTAAAGCCGTAGGAAATTTGACAAAGAGGAAATAACATATTTGACTTTCTATTTTTTTATTAAAAGAATATAAACATTCTGGGAAAAATATAAACATTATGTAATTGTACGGAAATGGAGTGTCTTCTATGCACACTACAATTAAAGAGAAACGAAGATGGGTTACAGACATGGTAAAAATATATCTATTTATTATGGTGTTGTATAAAGGCTGGAAGGCGATGATACTGAACCTCCGCTGAATCCACCTAAATTGCCTCCGAATCCACCAATATTTCCGGAATCACCGAAACCTCCAGTGCTACCTCCGAAGCCACCGGTGCCACCTACAAAACCGCCAGCGCCGCCTCCGAAACTTCCGGCACCACCTCCGACACCTCCAGCACCGCCTCCGAAGCCCCCGCCGCCGCCTCCAAACCCTCCAGCGCCGCTTCCAAAACCGCCGGCACTTCCTCCAACCACCTGACTTCCACCCTGAGAAGCCGTATTCAAGGCAGTCTGAAGGTCAACACCGCTGGGAAGAACTGGGTTCTCGCCGTCAGCATAGTTCACGAAGAAAACTTCAGGACTGGTTGCTGGTGGCGCTGGGACTTGGATCACTTCCGCTTGCTCTGGAGTCTGTCTGTTGAGGACATAGACGACGCTTCGCGTCTGTGGTGGAGGTATGACGATAGGCTCTGGTCCTGGACCTTGTTCAGGTGTTTGGATGAATACGATATTCGTGTCAATAGTTGGCTCAGGGATGTAAGGTGGTGGACCGTAGGGAGCTGGTGGCGCGGGTGGAGCATTGTACAAGTAGACTTTGCGGTTGACACGCGGGGTAACACATCTGCTATCAACATGCAACACTTGCCCAGGCCCACATCCTCCCGAGATGTAATTCGGCCTACCATAGTTATAGATCCGAGGAGCGGCCGATGACGTGACCACAACAGTTGCGATTAAAAACTGTAATATTGAGATATGTTTATATAAATTGAAATTATATATACCAATATATATATAAAGAAATAAAGCATTTGATGTCATTCACTTTTCTCACTGTCACTTTTGTTTCTACATCTAACAGAAACGACAACGAAAAGCATAAAATGAATAGGCCTTTCTTACCAAGAGCTTCATGGTGAAGTAATACTTTCTTCTTTCTAAGTGGCGGCTTTTATATACCCGACAACCTTTCGCCCCAACATTCTCCTGCTTTCTTCAACATTATCAGAACAAGCTCCTTCGGCTACCTCTCCCCTGACCGCCTGCTTCACTGATTACCTGCCCAGAATCTGATTAATGAGATTTTGTGCTTTATGTATTCCGAACGCTTCTGGTTGCCTTTTTTCATGTTCATCGTATAAACTTTATGATGGATTAAAATTACTTAATTTTTCATGAACGGACCATTATATCATTGTCTTCTAATCTAGTGAAAAAAGTATATCATTGTCTTCTAATCTAGTGAAAAAAATATGTTTATATGTGTGTATGTTTGTTTTATTTTCCTGTTATGCTGAATATGCAAGGTCACTGAGAGTTAGTTGTACATTCATTTTGTTATCAAAGCATATTCATTATTCATCGTATCTTATAGAAAACACTAAGCCTATGCTACGATAGTTTCCAGAAAGGGCTATTACAAATAGATTGCAATGACAGTATTACAAGGAATGGCCTGTAGAAGGTTTCACAGAGTAAGTTTTTGTTACTTTGTTTGTGCTATAGCTATTCTAAAACAAAAAAAAATATGTTTAGTAAGTCTTTTTTCGTGATTATTATTGCTGTCATCGATTTCAAGTTTGTGACATCGGTTATTACTTGAAACTCAGTTTATGAATTTTCAAAACATAGGCCGCTATGAGATACACGTCCTAATATCTTTCCATTTATATTTTGTAACATCGGTAATAGGAGATCATTTTTGATAAACAGGAGTATTACATCTAGAAGAGTTTATCTACAGACAGCGATTCCAATTTGGTGGTCTTCAAGCGAATACCTAATTGTTTGGAAACGTAATTATGAGTGCCTCTGTTGGGTTTGTTCTTCAGTGGTATTTTAAATCTTTCTTTTGACCGGGATGCACCCTTAAGTCATTCAGAGCTTCCAACATTGGAATAAAGGCAATTCTTTTTATTTTGTTATTTCGTCCGAAATTTCATTATCGCAGTTTGCATTATGTTTTGTTGTGTTCTGCCTTTATCGGGGATTTACCGGAGACAAGCTCATCGTAGGCCTACTTTGGCCAAAGAACGTGGCATCTTACTTGCGTTTTACATTTCAAGGCCTGACAAGACACTGGTTTTTATTTGTTTACATTTCATTTTTTTCTTTATTTATTTGTGGGGGTTAATTTATGTATATGTATACAGAAAATGAAAATTTGTATATACTAACTATTAAACATATCAGTATGTGTGAGTGTGCGTGTGCGTGGGAAGATAGTATTCATGTACTTCTCCTATACGATATTTTTTATGTCATAATGATAATAACAATAACAATAATAAAGATAATGATGATGATAATGATAATAAAATTGAACTAAATGAAAATAGTCAGTCTGCGTGTGAATCACAGTTTGTACTTATATATGTGTGGGAGGATGGAGGTGCCTGGGAATATGCCACTAAGAACTAATTCCAAATACTTAATGCCATACACAAATCCAATAAATCACATTGAACTAATATAAACCAAGTTGTACATGCGTGTGTAAACAAGGCAATATACAGGAATAGCATATTTGACTTTGTATCTTTATTAAAAAAATATAAAAACCTTAATTAGTTATTCTACAGGAATAACACGTATCTTATACACAACAAAATTAAAAAGAAACGAAGATGGATTACATGAAAGAGGAGGAATCATTAAGGTGTTGTATAAAGACTGGAAGGCGATGAAATTGAGCCAGAGCCTCCGCTGAATCCGCTTCCACTGCCCCCGAAGTTACCTCCAGCACCTCCGACGCCACCTCACTTCCGCTTGCTCTGGAGTCTGTCTGTTGAGGACATAGACGACGCTTCGCGTCTGTGGTGGAGGTATGACGATAGGCTCTGGTCCTGGACCTTGTTCAGGTGTTTGGATGAACACAATGTTTGTGTCTATGGTTGGCTCAGGGATATACGGTGGTGGACCGTAAGGAATTGGAGGTGTGGGTGGTGCGTTGTATAAATAGACTTTGCGGTTCTCGCGTGGGGTGACGCATCTGCCATCAACATGCAGCACTTGGCCAGCAGAGCAGATTCCTGAGTACAAACTTGGTCCTGAAGGGGCAGCCGATGTTGTGGCAACAATGGTCGCGATTAAAATTTATAGTAAGAGAAATTCTGTATTAACATAATCCCTATCCATACAGTATATATGCATGCATTATGTCTATACGTATATACGAGTAAGGGATGCGAAAGTCATGCCAGGAATCAATCGAAATTCTTTTTATTTCTCTCTCTCTCTTTTCCCATTGTAACTCCCTAAACTATTTCATCACAGCGAGAGTAGACCAGACTTACGAAGAGCTTCATAGTAAAGTAATACCTCTTCGTGTCAAAAGGCGGCATTATATACCACATTTCTTCTCGCCCAGCATTCTCCTCCTCTTCAACGCCTAAACTTGCCTGTCAAACCACCTCTCCCCTTGCCTCGGCTGGTGGCGCCGCTCCAAATTTCTGATCGGATCCCGTTGCATCTACTGTAATTATACATTGTTTTTAATTATCAATTTTTGCGACACCAGAATGACCACTGTAAAGTGTAGTCATCAATGACACAAAGACGGTTACGGAAGATGATTTCGTTATATTTGCTGTATGAAGAAATGCATGTCAGACGAGAAACTTGATGTGTCATTGTCTCGCGAATGAAATTTCACCAGGTAAAAAAACAGTGCACGTGCACTAACACTATCCAAAGTAATTTTGGTATTTGGTGATCGGGGGTATAATTAGTGATCGTTTGGATAGTTAGGGTAATATGTGTGTGTTTGTGTGTGTGTGTGTGTGTGCGTGTGCGTGCGTGTGTGGGATACGTGCATAAATCAGTTTTTCCCGTTTTTAAGTATACACGTATATTTGTTTTCATGTGAGTGTATATTTATTTACGTCTTTATTTACTTACCTTTTCATGTTTCCTTCATTTTATTTAACAATGCTTCTTACTGCCTCTTCTGCCGTATGTTTACATGTTTGCATTCAACATATAAAGATATATGCATATTAGGATACGATATTTGCATATTACGATATGCGTATACGCCAAGACTAGGATCCTCACATAAGGTAAAGTTAAAGTATGAACGATTTTTTTATTCATAGGAAGGGGAATGTATCTTTAAATTTTAGTAAGCAATTGCGCTTATCATTACCATTATTACTGCACATGGGAAATATCTATAGTTTTAAGGTGCTTTCTCTAGTGGTCTCCGACCTTTTCTAACTCTGGCTCACTCCTCTCAGTGTATGACGCGTTCCCTGCAACCCCTTCCTCATATACCGTATTACACTGGCGTAGTTGACACCTGTCAAATAATATCACAGAAAATAAGCTTCACTAGCGTGACGGTTTTGCTTGTTTCTCTACACGGAGTTTCTCAAATTCCACCATAAAGCAAAATATATTTAACCTCTTTATAAAACCTCGCTCTTCAGGCAGCTGTTCGCCCCCCCCCCCCTCACCCCCACGGGGAGCGCGCACCAGGTGGGAAACCACAGGCCTAGTCTGTTTTTGCATGCTCGATTAATTGTTGTATGCCACAACATGTAGTATGTATAAGTAAATATACACAAAGAAAGTATATATACATATATAGATATAGATATACTTTCTTATATATAGATACTTTCTTATATATAGATAGATCGATATCATTATCATGTTGTCTGTCGAGAACGACAACGACTGTTTCAAATCACAGGTCTGATGTGGTTACGCCACTGTATCCGGTCTCTCGCCACTAATCTGCCACCCATGTAAAACAATGCCCGCATGGGTCAGATTACGTTTGACAGTGTTTTTGAAACGCAAACGCTGTTTTTGATGTGTGTGTGTGTGTGTGTGTGTGTGTGTGTGTGTGTGTGTGTGTGTGTGTGTGTGTGTGTGTGTGTGTGTGTGTGTGTGTGTGTGTGTGTGTGTGTGTGTGTGTGTGTGTGTGTGTGTGTGTGTGTGTGTGTGTGTGTGTGTGTGTGTGTGTGTGTGTGTGTGTGTGTGTGTGTGTGTGTGTGTGTGTGTGTGTGTGTGTGTGTGTGTGTGTGTGTGTGTGTGTGTGTGTGTGTGTGTGTGTGTGTGTGTGTGTGTGTGTGTGTGTGTGTGTGTGTGTGTGTGTGTGTGTGTGTGTGTGTGTGTGTGTGTGTGTGTGTGTGTGTGTGTGTGTGTGTGTGTGTGTGTGTGTGTGTGTGTGTGTGTGTGTGTGTGTGTGTGTGTGTGTGTGTGTGTGTGTGTGTGTGTGTGTGTGTGTGTGTGTGTGTGTGTGTGTGTGTGTGTGTGTGTGTGTGTGTGTGTGTGTGTGTGTGTGTGTGTGTGTGTGTGTGTGTGTGTGTGTGTGTGTGTGTGTGTGTGTGTGTGTGTGTGTGTGTGTGTGTGTGTGTGTGTGTGTGTGTGTGTGTGTGTGTGTGTGTGTGTGTGTGTGTGTGTGTGTGTGTGTGTGTGTGTGTGTGTGTGTGTGTGTGTGTGTGTGTGTGTGTGTGTGTGTGTGTGTGTGTGTGTGTGTGTGTGTGTGTGTGTGTGTGTGTGTGTGTGTGTGTGTGTGTGTGTGTGTGTGTGTGTGTGTGTGTGTGTGTGTGTGTGTGTGTGTGTGTGTGTGTGTGTGTGTGTGTGTGTGTGTGTGTGTGTGTGTGTGTGTGTGTGTGTGTGTGTGTGTGTGTGTGTGTGTGTGTGTGTGTGTGTGTGTGTGTGTGTGTGTGTGTGTGTGTGTGTGTGTGTGTGTGTGTGTGTGTGTGTGTGTGTGTGTGTGTGTGTGTGTGTGTGTGTGTGTGTGTGTGTGTGTGTGTGTGTGTGTGTGTGTGTGTGTGTGTGTGTGTGTGTGTGTGTGTGTGTGTGTGTGTGTGTGTGTGTGTGTGTGTGTGTGTGTGTGTGTGTGTGTGTGTGTGTGTGTGTGTGTGTGTGTGTGTGTGTGTGTGTGTGTGTGTGTGTGTGTGT